ATATATATATATATATATAGAAGAGTATGGAAGTCTTCAAGAAAATGAGAAAATAGAAACCAGAAGCTGAAAGAATCCAAGTGTTTCTTTGTATTTTTACCTTCCTTATAAATGAGTGCAGTCACGGCTACCGGTCACACAGACTTGGCACAGGGTTCCCATGTTTACAGCATAGAACTGACCATGCGCAGTCTATGTCTTTTAGAGGGGTTTGGGCTTTCTACTTTGGTGTTCATTTTTACTCCACTGTAAGAAAAATTTAGCTTTTAAACACTTAATGAAATGCACATTGCAGTTCAGCTTTTACACTCATGTAGGCCACGTTTCCCAGCATGCTTTGTAAGCCAAATGAACAGACCGTGCTAGCATTTGCATTGGTCTGCCCTTTCGTAAAGCCAATTGTAAAATAACCTGTTATTCTAAAGAGTTCTTAAGTTATCCCTTGCAATTGTCCCTTTTCCAAAGCTTATAAAATTGAATATTGTGTACAGAATATAAATAGCAGGGAGGTGCTGGCAAATACAGAGTTATTCTGGTGCTGTCCTCCAAGAACAGCTGCCATGCAGACACCTTAGTTGTAAAATGACCTAGTGTCAAAGTCATGAACACAAATACAAATAAAATAAAGAAATGACTTATTGGATGTGGGTTCAATCTGCTTGTATAGTAGAATGCCAAAACAAATGTGTTCTTTCCCTAGGCTTCTCAAATCAGCCTTCTTCCCAGATCATGCTTACTATCCATAGTTAGATGTCCAGTCATTTAACAGTCACTGCATTGACTTTGTGGCCACAGAATGTCCATTCTAAACTCAGCAATGTGTTTCTGTGTACGATTAGCAATGTTTTTCTGCGTAAATAAGAAAAACTATCCAGTATACTGGGAGCTATAATATATTTTATTCTGCAATCCTTCCAAACCTGTTTTCTGCCTGGTTGGTGCAAACAAATCAGTCACATGTTGCTTTATCTTTAAGTTGAATGTAAAAGTGTTTGTGCTGCCCATATGAGATTTTATCTCTCAGGTCACAAATATTACAATTAGATTGGATAATCTTCTACCATCTTCTTTATATTTACCAACCACCTTATAGCGATTGGGGCTTACCTAAAAAAATTATTTAACTTCTATTAATTCAAGTAGGCCTTTGAACTTCATAATAGGTAAATATACCATAAATATACCAATATACCATTGGTAAAGATTGTAAAAGCAAGTTGTAACTTGTGGCCAGCTTTGTCTCATGAACAGAGGGTACACTAACCCATACAGGCCCTGCTGTGGGCACAAAAGCAAGTTGGAGATATAAGCTATGATTCTTTACCATGACAGGTGCTAGCTGGATCATGTCGGAGACAGGGACATGTTTCTTTAGACCAAGCTTTCTCCAAACTTTTTACACTGAGTAACCTTTGAAATAACTTCATGTTCTCAGGGAACCCCTGGTAATTATTACTATCGCTAATAGCTCATGGCACTTAGTGTGATCAGAAAGTTTAGAAATAATAATAAAAGAATATAGAATGTGACATCGCGTTTTTCTCTGTTTAAACTGAATTTGAAATGTCACCGTCCTGTGGAGGCCATGTAACGTTTGTGCCTGAACTTGCAAATGGGGGCTGTGGATTGATGGAGACACAAGACCTAGCCCTGTTTAAACACCCTTATGTAAACATTGTCATACTGTATAGCTGGCTTCTCGCTGTGCATTCAGAGCAGGCCAGCCATGACCAAGTACAGAGTGTACAGGTATTTTCCTTGTCTTGGGATGCACCCTTGATTCTTAGCTGAGCTCCTAAAAAGTAACGACCGTGATGATCTTATTAAATGGAACCTATAGTGAGAAAAAAAGGACTACCATTGCTGGCTACATTTTGGAAATACTGGTTTCCTAGCTGCTGTAGCCCCGGGCGCCAATAACTCTGGTTACGCCGCTGCCTTTGGCTTTAGTACTTTGTAGGTCCCTGACGAGGAACAAGGCTGCAGATTAGAAGTCAGAGTGTAATCCTAACTGCTAATCTGCTTTCCTGTTCCATGTATATTAAGTAGCTAGTATTAAAGCCACTGGATCAACATGACAAGTAAGGTTGCCGTCTATTCTGGAGAAAAAAATAACTACCTACTGATCTCTTCCCTGTTAAAAATATTGCCCAGGTTGGTAAAATACCAGCCAGCTGAAAACCTCACAGCCAAGTCATTATCCTTTAAGATGAAGAGGCCAGAAATGGTAGTCTTCATATAATGTTTCAGGTTTCCTTTAACCATATCGTCTCATCAGAGAGGTGTTTTTCATTGCTATGGTATATGGTGTGTACTTAAACTGGCTACAAAAAGCACAGACCATAATGAATTGGGATTTGTTCAGTAAAGCAGTATAAAGACCAATGATGATGTAACAACTAATCATATATTAGTAGACCAGCAAAAAACAAAACCCGATTGGTAAATGGTTGCTGCACGTTTTTTGCTTTCCCGAATAACCTTAAAATACAATAAAAAACAAGGTGGTTTAGCGGGCCAGTGATGATTATTTGAACCTGCAAGGCCTTTTTACACAAGCCCGGGGCCTCAAACCATGAACATATTCCCAGTGCTAGTTTCAGATTTTGATGGTATAACAGTGTGTCACTTTTTACAAAAATAACATTTTACAGGACTTGGAGCCGCAGCACAGTAAAAATGTTAAGTATGAGAAAATTGCACTTGTAAACATCCCTTCATCCTTGAAAAAAAAAAAGAAGCCCGAGATTCTATACATAACTTGCTCCTCTGTAGATTCATTTTCTAGTCTGTCAAGGAAAAAACATGGCAGATGTATGTATGATTTGTCACTCTCTATAAAACTTTATTTTATATTTACTCTTTTCCTCTGTTAGAAGGTGCAAGCTTCACACTCGCCTCTGTCTCCTTCTATGGGCATGCATGCAAATTGGGAGCACAATTCTCTGCTACTGAATTCTACAATATAGGGAACTTCTCTTGTGTCAGCTGGAGTTAATAAAAAAAAAAATTTGAAAGCCTGCAGTTCCTGGCTACAAAGGGTTAATGTGAAAGCGAGAGCGGTAAGGGAAAACCATATCAGCTCACAAATATGCAGCATTGTATAGCTGTAGCGAAGGCATGCTCATGAAAGCTGCAGTCAATTTAATTTGGAACCCAAAGATGATACATCCCAGGTTCTCATTACATTGCCCATATAACCAAACCAGATGGTACTTTAACTAACGTGCTTAGCAGGAGGCAGGAGCAGCAGAACTGATAACTGCGGTGATGTAATGCTTGTCTTTTACATGTTCAGAGCATTTGTTGATAATGACAAAATATCTATTGGTTACACACTCTCCAACCAAGGTTTTTGTTTTTTTTAGCTTTACAGTGATCCAAACATGGAGGGTTTGTTCTATTTTGACCAACCAGAATGAAAGCTTGAGCGGCAGAATGCACTGGGTTTGAATAGTCATATTAATGGTCATTGTGCCACATAGTGCATTTGTGATAGAATTCCCTCTTGCTGTAAGTGCTGTATTCAGACCTGTACAAATGTTAAAGGATTGCAGCCGAATATGACAATAAAGAGGTCAACTGATGACAAGTGCTTCCAAAACCACTACTCAATAGATTGCCCACAGAGGAATATTGACAGTGACCATTGGATAAACTCTAAAATGTCAGTCTGCCCATGCATGGGCATCTTCAGACCAACATTTGCAGAAAGCGAAATAATTCTAGGCTGAGGTACTAAGTACATGTTGATTGGTTAAAAGTATTGTATCCTAACCTAAGCTCTTGGTGTTGCTTTCACTGTAATGCATGATGTGTTTAACCTCACTAATATTTCTGCATAGCTTGTATATCAGCAAGTCAGGTCTTTACTGCTTGTTGAGAATGGATTTGCTATGGGTGCTTTACTGACATTTGGTGTCTTTCCTTTTTTGTCCTGCCGCTTCCCCTCTATCCTTCCACGCAGAACCTCCAACCAAATACCAAATCTCTCAGCCAGACGTTTTAACGATTACTCCCGGCAAGCCTCTTGATCTGCGCTGTCCATACAACGATGCTTCCCTGGTGACTTGGACTAAGGATGGGGTGAAATTAGAATCCGGCAATAGGACGGTGATTGTCATGAACTACTTGCTGATAAACGAGACTCTCCTCAGGGATTCAGGGCTGTATGCCTGCTTAGCTCATAAAGGCACCCAGAGCAATACTCATTTCTTCCTTGTGAATGTCACAGGTGAGTGACTGACTGGAGAATGGAAGTGTAACCTATCAGACCATAATGCACCGTGTGTCATCATCATTGTGTTGCAAACAATGGGCTGTATCCAACAATTTGTCTTTTGAAAGCTGCCTGGAGGCATAAAAAAGAGCCCTCCGGTGTCAATTTATGCCAGGAGTCGAGTATAGATTCATAAGCCATTTAGAATTTGTTCTGGCAAACACCACAGCTTGATAGGATATCCCAGAAATCTCTCTGGAAGCCTTGACGGTTTTCAGAGCATAGAAATGATTGCTTAGTTTTTTCTCTGATAGTTTTTGGATTATTTTTTAGTAGTTTTTCTGCATTAGAACATTGCTCTTTTTTTACCTGGTATGGTTTCTGTGATCATAGACATTTATTGCATCATGCATATTTCTTTCAGAAGCGAATTCTTCTGGAGATGACGAAGATGACAGTGACAATGATGTCTCAGAGAACATCATTAATGACAACAACAATATAAGTAAGTAGGCCACCTGTGACCCCCAGGATGTAAATTTGAATTTCTATAATGTTATTAAATCTACAGCTCCACATTTAGGTAGGAATTAAAGTGTATGCAACGTGATTGTGACAAAAATACATACATTGTATATGTAGTTCACTTTAATTCTGTTAATGACTTAATTTTAGTTAAGTACACTCTAAAGCAGTGGTTCTCAACCTGTGGGTCGGGACCCCCTCGGGGGTCGAATGACAATTTGCCAGGGGTCGTCTAGTGGCCCCCGGCTGCCGGGAGAGAGACACTTTCTCCCGGAAAGGTCAGGACCTTTCTCTGCTTTGTTTGTTTTTTTAAATCGGGGACCGCCGCAAGTCAGAAAAAAAAACCCACCATAGGAATGCATAGCTAGATTCCTATTGGCTATTTCACTTTGAAAAAGCCAATAGCAAACTAGCTATTGCACCCGCCCTCTGATGCGGCCAATCAGCAGAGGGGGACCTGAAGTTCTCCATCATGTCCCCTTCTAGTGATTGACAGCAGCAGAGGGCGGGTGCAATATGTATGTATTCAAGCAAAAAAATATGTAAAACACACTTCTAGCTATGCATTCCATTTTCCCGGTCCGCAGCTGCAGAGATCGGGAAATGTCTGTGCCTGTGATTTGGCGCTCTCAGCTTCCTGGTGGGCTCGGCACGTGGAGCTGCGAACTCGCCCGAGCCCATCCCCATCAGTGACAGTACTGCGGAGTATGTACCTCATACGTTATATAGCCACACACTTTAAATCCAATTTTTCTAGTTCCAGCTGCAGAGCCCGGTCCTGTCTTTGCCTATACTCTAAAGGGACCCATTGGGTATATCAGAAAAGTCATTGCTATCATGTCTGATTTGCATGGCCTTACAAACTATCTTTAAGAGAACTTGTAGTGTTATAAATAATATGGCTGATTGAAAATATAAACTCTTAAACAGATGTTGGATATAAACACCACTTGGATATAAATATAAGCTTCAATTGTGGAGCAAGGGTTGCTAGGTGTAAGGTATAGTCCAACCAACAAGGTACAAATAAATTGCTAACAATGACCCCCCCAATCTGTTCCTTAATGAGCATAGAGGTTTGACTAGAAAATATAGAGAGTACATCACAATAGTATGATTTAATATGGTTTTAGCTTTAGACTCTCATGCAATCCATAGCAAATATCGCACTGCATGTACTCTTTCTACAGATCTAGTGAAATGAAAATACAAATAATTAATAAATATATTGATCTGCCTAATGTTAATTATTTCATTACCTCTGACATTATGAAGCCTGGCTAAGGTACCACTTTCATTTATACCTTTCTCTGCTTTCAGGGGCTCCATACTGGACAAACCCAAAGAAGATGGAGAAGAAACTTCATGCTGTCCCAGCTGCTAACACAGTAAAGTTACATTGTCCAGCTGGTGGAAACCCCATCCCTACCATGAGGTGGCTAAAAAACAAAAAGGAATTCAAGCAAGAGCATCGGATTGGTGGTTATAAGGTAAGAGGAACACATCAACGTCTGTTATTTTATCACCATGATCCCCTGAACTTGGGACTCAATTTTGTTGTGAACTCAGATTGTTAAGCTGTTTTATGTAACATATTGGACAGGTTAGATCAACTCTGATATTCTTTGAGTTTACACTATTAGTTTCCAAATTTCTATTTCTCCTGGAGAGCCTTTAAGTTCCTATAGTTTAGCAAAGGTTTTCTTCAATGCCTCTCCCCCATCAGCACGCACTTGCCTTTTCTTCTCTACTCTGTGGTCTGTTAAACTGTTGGAAACAAAGACTATATACTGCACTTTGGAAATGGATGAGCATGTCACTTGGTCCCCTTCCTCCCATATGACAGTGCTTTAGCTATGTGATTAGAGCAGCACTGTCTCATCAGATGTGGGATAAGTGTCCTTGGCCCGGTTGTGACTTGGAGCTTTGCCCTGTATAGTTTCTTCTTTTGAAAATACTAGTTCCCTGGCTGACATGCTGATTAGCTGGCTTCAGTACTTTTTAAATCACCTGACTAATAAGTATACAGATCAGGAGTTATGACTTTCCTGATCTGTATGCATATCCTGGGTCAGTGATTTCAAAATTATTGAGGCTGGAGACAGCCAGGAAAGGCTTCAAATATATGTTTTCACACACTGTTGGTATTTCCCGCTCTACACCAACATTCAGATCACGCTTTGTACATACACACGATACAATTTTCTTTAGTATGATTTCTATTCTGAGAACACTGAGGTTTGGAAGTGCTTAAGTGTAGCACACAGCATTACAGCATACCTATTCTACAAGTAATACATTGGGAAGCTGGTTAGGCAAATAGGTCATAGCAGTTACTAGTCCATTGACCTTTTACCCCAATTACTCCTTGTTTGAAGAGCAATTTACAGACATACCCTTAGATGCAGCTGCTGAGTTTCAGCTATGCAGAAATAAGAGATTTGTTTTTCAAAACACATATGTCAATGTAATAAATTGTTAAATGCTACTAATCTAAGAGGGTGACGGGCAAATGAAAGGGCAATTTAGAGGTGAATTGCTATTCTGGTAATACATTTTCCATGATATTGAGATACCTGAATAAAGCTTCGTTGTGTAGAGATAATAAAAGGCACCAGGTGCATGCTTGTTATCGTACCAAAACAGCAATTAACATGTGCAATTACTCTCAATAGCATTAGAAGCTGGAGATATGATGTGTATGTTTGGGTGTATCGCAACCTTGTCCTGCCATAATATTACTACAGTAGAGTAGTTAGGAGTAAATATTTTGCGCCATATCTTTTTTTCTAATGCTAGCCATTACGTCACGCTAGATGAAAACGGTTTTCAAGGTACAATCAATGCTGTAGTCACAATACCATGAGTGGCACTTCCTATTCACGTGCTGTTTTAATGCCCAGGAAGTGTTAAAGACTTTACATGTTTTGTTGTTTTGGTAATCAGGATGTTCCAATGGCTTAAAATCCTAAAGTTGCACAGGTTCCCATGACTAGGGACTGTTCCCAATAATAATTTTAAATGCCAGCTCATCAGTCTGGGATAAACTTTGATCAGACAATGAAAGACATATTTTTTGACCTTGACCAGGTTTTTAACTGGCAGAACCATAGTATTTGAAAGAAAAAAAAAAATCACTTTAGCGATTATTTCTTACTTACTGTCTGAGAACATGTATGCAGATTCGAAGTTATGACTTCACTCTGACTTTACATGTTGCATGCTTGTGTCAGGTCAGTGACTGGGAAAATGTGGAAGTCACAGACAGTCATCAGCTTCCCTGTATTTCTTTTTATACAGATTTCCTTCAGATGTGTCACCGAGAGCAGGGCCGTAGATAATTTTTTTCCCTGGGGGGGGGGGGGGGGGGGGACTGTGCGGAGTCTCAGGTGGCCTGGTGGGGTCTCAGGTGGGCTGTGCGAAGTTTTAGCTGGGCTGTGCAAAGTCTCAGGTGGCCTGGTAGGATCTCTGGTTAGCTGTGCAAAGTTTTAGGTGGTCTGTGTGGTGTCTCAGGTGGGCTGTGTGGTGTCTCGGGTAGGTTGTGTGGTGTCTCAGGTAGGTTGTGTGGAGTCTCTGGTGGGGTCTCTGGTGGGCTGTGCGAAATTTTAGGTGGGCTGTGCGGAGTCTCAGGTGGCTTGGTGGGGGTCTCTGGTGGGCTGTGCAAAGTTTTAGGTGGGCTGTGCAGAGTCTCAGGTGGGCTGTGCAGAGTCTCTGGTGGCCTGGTGGGGTCTCTGCTGGGCTGTGC